GATTGCAATCATTATAATGTAACAGCTTTCTTCCCACTTCCTTCCTGTGGTTACCTTTTCCCTTTGTCCTTTCCTATGCATTCTTGCCCTCTGAGATGTCTCTCAGTGCACATTCTGCCCTCCTGATCTCCCATGGTTGATTGTTCCAAGGAGTATACCTACCTGATATAAATATTCGTAAAAGCAAAGATCAAGAGGAATGTTGTTGTTGTTATGTGCCGTCGAGTTGGCCCCAACTCATAGCGACCCCTCCTTGGGCTTCCGAGGCAGTATCACTACGGAAGTAGGATTGCCCAACCTTCCTTCCGAGGAGTGGCTGGTGGGTTTGAACCGCCAGCCTTCTGGTTAGCAGTCAAGTGCTTTAGCCACTACGCTACCAGAGTTCCTAATACTAAGTGTCAATTAAAGATTCCAATCATGTATTTTATCTTCTACTGTTTGTACATTTTGGGTTATGCTTGATAGTCTTTTTATGCCATAACTTAGGGACCCTAAGTTTGCCTCTATTTTTTGTTTGTTGAACTTTATAGTTTGACGTTTCACATTTAAGTCTTTGATCCATCTGGAATTAGTTTTTGTGTATGGCATGAGGTATGGATCTTGGTTCATTTTTCTGCAAATGGATACCCAGTTTTGCGAGCACCATTAGTTAAAGAGACTATCTCTTCCCCATTTAATGGACTTTGGTCAAAGATCAGCTATTTCTGGGTCCTCAATTCTGTTCCACTGGTGTCTGTCACTGTATCAATGTCAGGCTATTTCAGCTGCCGTAGCTATATGAAAGGTTTTGCAATCCAGTGGTGGTTTGCTTTTATCTGAGGTTTCTTTTCTTACCATATAAAATTAAAAAAAAAAAATAACCTCACTGCTGTCGAGTCATTTCCAACTCATAGCGACCCCTCCTTGGGTTTCTGAAGTGGTATTTCTACGGAAATAGATTGCCCAGTCTTCCTTCTGAGGAGTGGTTGGTAGGTTTGAACCACCAGCCTTCTCATTAGCAGTCAGATGTCTTAAGCACTGCGCCACCAATTAGTGATTGGTGTTTCCAAGTCCTTAAAGAATGTTGATAGAATCTGGATCAGGATTGCATTGAATGTGTAGATTGCTTTGGGTAGTATTTATATTTTCACAATGTTCAATCTTCCTATCCATGAGTATGGTATGTGCTTCCATTTATGTAGATCTCTCATAGTTTCTTGAAGTAGTGCCAAGGGTCTTTTTCTATTCTCTTCCTTGTTGATTCATCTACACCTATAGTTTTAACTATCACTTCTTTTTCACGAATATCCAGTTTTTATATGCAACCTTGGCCTCATTCTTAACCTTTTCCATTAGTTCCTAAGTTGGCATTTTCAGACTGATTTTCTGTTTTTTGTGGTTTGTTTTGTTTTCAATTCAACCTATTAATAAATGGAACTTACTTGTTTTTTAAAAATAAGAACTTTTATCCAGACTGACATCGTATATAAAAATTGAGATGGGTCAGAATATAAATGTGAAAGGTAAAATAGTGTTTCTTGAAGATAATGTAGGAGAATATCTTCATGACTGAGATCAGCAGAGATTTCTTAAACAGAGCACTGAAAAAAATGTCTAATCATAAAAGCAAAGATCAAGAGGAATACTAAGTGTCAATACAAAGGAATGAACTGTTGACCTAGGCAACAACATAAAAAGTGCGTACTATATGATTCCATTTATATAAAACTCTAGAAGATGCAGATAGGGTCTCTGGTGTTAGAAAGCTTCTCTGGTAGCTTGAGGATGAGGGCGAGGATTGAGGAGGGGCTGTTGTTTGGTGCCATTGAGTTGATTCCAACTCATGGTGACCCCATGTGACAGAGCAGGATTACCCCATAGGGTTTTATTGCTATCTTTTTGGAAGCAGATCACCAGACCTTTCTGTCAGTGAGCTACTGGGTGGACTTTAACTGCCAAGCTTTTGGTAAGCAGCCGAGCGCTCAAATTAACTGGTGAGCCACTGAGGCTCCCAAGAAGGCACTAAACAGGGGACATTACAAAGGGATGTGAGGAAACTTTTGAGAGTAGATATAATCACTTTCTTGTTTATTGTAAAGCATTTACAGGTATATACATGTGTGAAAACTTAACAAATTGTATACTCTAAATATGTTCACTTTGTCATTTATAACTCAACAAATCTGTTTTTGTTTTGTTTTATAAAAAAGAAAGAGATTTCATAAGAAAAGGCAAGCCATAAACTGGGAAGAGATACTTGCAGTATACCTAACAACAAAGTCCTTATATCCAGAGAATATATATATATGTATATAAAACTTCCATCACCCATCTGTTTGTTGTACTGTGTCAGCTTAAATGTTGCTGTGGTGCTGTGCTACTGGTATTTCATATACCAACTGAGCCAACCGTGGACAGGTTTTAGTGGAGCTACAAGACTAAGCTACGAGTTGGATTTGACTCGACGGCAGTGCATCATTACATTATAAGACTAAGGCAGACTAGGAAAGGGGACCTGGCTATGAGTCAGGACCAACTTGATGGCACCTAACAACAACAACAACATAAAAACTACAATTCAGTAAGAAAGCCCTATTTTTAAAATTCACAAAAAAAGTATATCCAAACAATAAGATTATAAAAAGGTACTGATAGGAGAAATGCAGTCATCAAAGAAATGTATATTAAATGACATATCACCACACCCCCGGGAGCTCTGGTAGCATAGTGCCTAAGGCACTTGACTGCTAACCAGAAGGCTGGCAGTTCAAACCCACCAGCCACTTCTCGGAAGGAAGATGGGGAAATCTACTTCCATAGTGACACTGCCACGGAAACCCAAGGTGGGGTTGTTCTGAGTTGGGTCTGACTCAATGACACATAACAACAACCATACCCCTACCACAATGTCTAAAACTAAAGAATTGGTAGTACCAAGTGTTGTTAAAGATGTGGAATGACTAGAACACTGCTGGTGTAAATTGGTAGAGACACTCTGGAAAAATGTTTGGTGGTATATATTCAGCTGAAAATACGTGTACTCTGTGACCCAGCACTTTCACTCCTGGCTTTACCTCTGATATCGATGGGTGCTTACATTCACCACATGGCATATATGAGAATATAATGGCTAAAACAAGAAACAACACAAATGTTTATCAACAGTGGAATTGATAAGTAAATGGTGGTATAGTCATAAAATAGAGTACTACTTAGCAAAAAAGAATAAACTATTGCTACGTGAAGCAATATAGGTGAATATCACAGATAAAATGTTTAATAACCAAAGCTACACACAAAAGAATTCATGCTATATGATTTCACTTATAAGAAATTTGACAACAGAGAAAAACAATTTATGGTGATAGAGGTGAGAATAATAGTTTCCTTTGGGTGAGTATTGACTGAAGGGGCGTAAAGGAGCCTTCTGAAATATTGGAAATATTTATATCTTTAGTCATTGTTACATGAGTATATATGTATATATACATTAAAAACTATTGAGCTATATGTCTAAGATTTGTGTATTTTACTCCATGTGAGTTATACCTTAATAAGCAATGTTTTGTTTTGTTTTTTTAAAAACCCTATACTTATTTTTTTTTCTTCCAACTTTCCTCTTTTATTTACACCTCTTCTTAAAATTAGCTCCCATTCTGGCTTCCCTGGTCTTTGTTAACTGAAAACTCTGTTAAACTTGCTTCTCAGGGACTCAACTTTAAACCCTGGCTCCTTTTGTTTCCTTTTTGTGGTTAGTCCTTAAATCCTGTCAGCTCTTCTTTTAAAATATCTTCCATGCATACTGCTTTCAAACCATGCCTGTGCTAGGGTTTTAGCCTGAACTATGCATTGTAACTAAATTATTGCCAAGGACCTAAATGATTTCCCTGAATTTTTCATATTTAAAATTGTTCTGCATTATTCCAGGAAAGCTATGTTTTTAAAGCACCATTGAGATGATACATCCACTGTGTCATTTCTCAAAAGTCTGGAATAGGCCCCCACTTCTGGCACAGTAGGTGCACACATGAGTCAGCAGTGACTTGATGGCAATGAACAAGATGCAGATCATGCTCTGGTGTTGTGTCTAATACCCTCTTGGTCTGGCCCCAAGCAGCCTTTCCACTTCCCCAAAACCCACTGCCATCAAGTTGATTCTGACTTATAGTGACCCCCACTGGGTTTCCAAGGCAGTAAATCTTTACGGAAGTAAATTGCCCTATCTTTCATCCGCGGAGCAGCTGGTAGGTTTGAACCTCCAACCTTCTGGTTAGCAGTCAGATAAATGCCATACACACTGCACCACCACTTTACTACTTCCCCATCCATGTGCAGTCCTTTGGAAAACTGGAATCTTTGTTTCCAAACCCATTTTTGCTCTCTTTTGGTTATGTAACTCTTTGTTCATGCTTTTCTCCACCTAAATACTTTTCTTCCTCACATTAAACCCCATTTCAAACCATTTCAACCTGAGGGATTCATGGTATGCTTCATAAAATCCATGAACTCCTTGGAATTATATCAAATGTTTCCATATGTGTGCAATTTTTGGAGAATGACTTTGAGAATTCAGATTCTCAAAGGGGTCCATTATTCCCCCTCCAAAAATTAAATTGATTTAATAATCTTTTAAAGGAATACAAATTAATTTTTGTTGATTTAGAGGAATTTTGTCTTACTGAGACTCGTTAAGTCCTCAGTATCCTGGATAATAAAGCATATATATATATATTTTAAAAAAAAGTTCTTTGTAAAGCTCAGAGTTTTAAATTCAGGTAAATTGTCTTATCCTTGTCCGTTTTTTGGGTTCCTAGATAAATAGCTCTTTTCCTCAAAAGATAATGTTCACATCTTAATATTTTTCATTTTGATATCTTTAGTTAAAGGGAAAAAATAATTTTTCTTCTCACTCCCACTTTACTATTCATACAGCTAGTAGTATCATCTCTGTATGCTTTGATGTAGCAATCCCTTTTTAAAGATGCTGGTCACTTTTTCATCTTTTTTTCCCCCTGTTTTAGATTCCTGTAGGCAATGGAAACTGATCTCAATTCCCAAGACAGGAAGGACCTGGACAAGTTCATTAAGTTTTTTGCCCTCAAGGTAATATGTCCATTCTCTTGAGCCTAGAACTCTTATAGAAATAACTTCCACACTTCTCCCTTTTGAGAACTGTCTTTGGAAAAGTAGCATAACAGCTTGCAGCTTGCCCATTTTAAGGGAGACTTCTGTCTGTTGTAAACCAAACTGTGAAGGTTGGGGGTGTAACTGGGGGTGTAACTAGAAAGTAGCTTCTAATTTTCCACAGCTACTAGTCCAAAAAAATTTTTTTTCCAAGGCCATTTTCAGAAATGTCAGGCCATTGTGCCAGGTTATTGGCACAGTATGTTCCCTCGGGTGAGAAAAAAGACTGTGAGTCAAAATGGTCAGTATTTAGGGCATCTTTCTTTAAGCATCAATTTACTCTGAAATGCCTAACTTTATTGTTCCCCTTCTGGTAAATGGAGAGTTAAAACTGAATTTTGTATGCTTTAAAAGTTATACTTTCCCAAACTGAAAATAAAATCATTTTGCTTCTGTCATTCCTCCTCTCAGCCATTGCCATGCTAGAACAATCCATACAATACAGATTCTGGTTATAAAATTATTTGGAAGGTTTTTGCCATATGGGCCAAGCAATATGAATAATTGTGGAGGTTCTTAGATTAAATCTACTATGATTACATAAGTTTGTGGCAGTGAATATTTAAACCCACAGTTGGACTTGTTTCTTTGTGAAAGTCATGGCCACCATGTGCAGCATTTCTTCTGCCATGTGAGGATAACGCAGATTCCAAGCCTTACACTATAGTTCCTATGATTGGTTGGCACTATATCTTCAGGACCGTTTACAGTATTATTGATTTATTTTTTGGTTACAGTTTTCTCTTTGTTCATCTGTTCTTGAATGTTTTAAATTCTCCCCTTTCCTGAGTTACAGTTATGATTAATTAGTGTCTTTTTAACCCTGCATTGGATTAGGAGCCAAATCTGTTTTTAAGACCTTTTATCTATGTTTTTTTTTTGTTTGTGCTTTTTTTAGACTGTCCAAGTGATTGTCCAGGCTCGACTTGGTGAGAAGATTTGTACTCGTTCATCTTCATCCCCAACGGGTTCAGACTGGGTAAAAATCCAGGTCTTTGTTAAGGGGCATACTGTGGTGTTTCTCACAGGAATGAATTTAAAGTTCTTAAGTTAAATAGTATAGAATACTGTTTACAGTATTACTAAATCATACCATTAAAACATCTAATTCTGTTTGAACCCTTTACTTGGAAAGTATGTTCTTCATCTAATGTTATTCCTGGATTTATTTAGTTCTTGGCTTTCTGCTGTGATAGGTGAAAAACTAAGTCCTTAGAAGACAAAAATAATATTTTGTTAACTAATCTTTATAATAGGTAATTATTTTTCTCAACCTGAGATTTGGGCCTTTGATGCAGGATATCTTTCAATGGGGAAGGGAGAAGTGAATACATGTCCTCATTAATCAAAGCAGTGTCCATCCACATTGCCTAATGTAAAACCTTATTTCATGTTTCCATAATGTCCCTTGTATTGAGGATTCAGAAGTCCCTTTTGTTTTCTAGTTCAACCTAGCAATCAAGGACATCCCAGAGGTTACACATGAAGCAAAAAAGGCACTGGCAGGGCAGCTGCCTGCTGTCGGGAGGTCTATGTGTGTGGAGATCTCACTCAAGACTTCTGAGGTAAGGTTATGGCCAGGATGATGTCTGCTTGGTGCTCAAGGCTGTTCGCACTCTGGTCCTAGCTCACTTCTCGACCTTATTCCTGCCTCTTCCCCCTTTGAACTTTTCATCATTCTCTAAAGAGGTCTTGGGTTTTGTACTTATTCATTCATCCACTTGGAGTAGGCACTTTGCTGTTATATTCATATGATATATTTCTGCTCATCATTCAAGATCCTCTTGCTCTAGAAAATACCCCTCTTCTACTGGGAGAGGTAATTGCTCTTACTGTGCTTTTTTTATAGAGTATAACTTGCTGTATTGTGATTTTATTAAAATGTACTTTTACTCATCTTGCATGTTTGGACTGAGGCAGGTATTATTATTTACATGTTAATCTCTTTCTACTACTAAACTGGGAGACTGCATGGTGTAGTAATGTAGGCTTGGGAGCTAGGCAGCTCTAGGTTTAGAACCCAGCTGAGTAATTTGGCCAAATTGCTAAACCCCACCCCCACCAACACCACCTAACTAAATGGCACTTGACCCGTCTTGCTGCTGTTGTTGTTGTTGTTATGTGCCATTGAGTCAGACCTGACTCATAGCGACCCCTCCTTGGGTTTCTGAGGCGGTATTATTATGGAAGTAGATTGCCCAACCTTCCTTCCAAGGAGTGGCCTGTCTTGCAGGAGTATATTATTTTTTCATTTAATCCTTACTTGTAAAGTGTGACATTTAGTAGGCTGTCCACACGTGTTTGTGTTCTTGAGGTCAGTGGCTATGCCCCATCTTATTTATCTTCATAGTTCCTTAAGTTCTTTTTTTGAAATGAGGCAGGGTATATATGTAAGTAATCATCTTTATGTCCTTAATGCCTAGCACAGTGCTGAAATGACAATTTGAAGACTCTCAAATTTTGTTAAATGAATGATGTTAATACTTATTCCATGGACGCTATAGCACTAAATAATATTACATTTATGTATGATTCTTTATTTAATTTCATTTAAACTGTGGGTTATTTTCTTAGTATCCATATAGAGTACAAAAGGAATCCTTAAAGAATTCTTCCCTCTCTCAGGCATCATTTCTTGGGAAATCTAATTATAAACTGTTCTGATTGTCCTAGAGAAACCACATAACTCGCTTTGTATATTCTCTAGTATCTAGTCTTTCTTGGTATTTTAGGATATGGGACGGAATTCAAATTCATCCTGTCATTTAAAGCTGACAGCTTGATGACAAGGATATATACTAAGAATACATATTTAAATTTGATCTGGAAGAAGTGAAAATCAATTCTCTACTCCATAAATTAGCCCTCTTCCAAATGATTTGTAAAAAGTCTACTTGTGTTTAAAGGTATGGCAACTATCCTTCTCAAGAAGATGTACCAAGTTGAGGGATTCTAGCTTTAGTTTCCTATCTTTCTTATCTACTATGCTAAATAAGTCTGTTCATGGAGATGAACAGTTTGGCTAAAGACATGAAACAGTTAAAAAATATTTTTAAGGAACTTGTTAAGGTATTCCTTGACTGAGAGTGGGCCTAAAAATAACCCCTGTAGAACTGGAGGGAGGGAAAGGCTCTTCCATCTGAAAAACATCAATTTTTCTGAAGGGTAATATGGAAATAAACATCAAAAATCTTTAAAAACATTTATATTCTCTGAGCTAGCATTCCTAATTCTGGAAATTTGCCTTAAGAAATTCATTCAAGATAGGTACATAGTTTTAGCCTCAAGGCTATTTATCACAATATTGTTTATAGTAGTGAAAAATTAGAAACAACCTCTATGTCCAATGGAGGGGTTGGTTGGATAAGATTATAGATTCACCTGGTGGAATACTATGCAACCATTAAAAATTATGCAGATTTTTTAATGATAAGGAAAATGTCACAATGTATTTATTAAGAAAACAGCAAGTGATAAAAATAGTATGTATAGTGTGACATGATACTATTCTTTTATTTAGAAAAATAGTTGAATTATAAGGTGATACTCATTTTTTTCCTCTTTGCTTGTCTATAATTTTCAGTATTTTTACAGTGATTGTGTAGTTCCTTGTAATAAGAAAAAAGAGGTAATTAAAAAAACTGAAATGTTTTTAAACTTCTAGTGCTAATAGAAGAATTTAGCAAAGATGCAGGATACAGGATCAGCAAACAAAACTCAGTTGTGTTTCTATATACCAGCAATGAGAAATTTAAAAGGGAAATTACTTATCATAAATTCCACTTATGATACCATCTAAGAGAATAAAATACCTAGTAATAAATTTAACCAGAGACATGAAGGACTTACACAATGAAAACTATAAATACTGCTGAAAGAGATTAAACAACACTTAAATAAATGGAAAGCTGTCCCATGTTCATGAATCGGAAAACTTCATGTTGTTAACATGTAAGTACTACCCAAAGTGATCTATAGATCAACACAACCCTAATCAAAATTCCAGCAACCTTCTTTACAGAAATGGAAAAACTAATCCTTACTTTTGTATGGAATGGCAAGATACACAGAATAGCTAAAACTGTTGAAAGAGAAGAACAAAGTAAGAGGACTTAGACTTCCTGATTTTTAAATTTACTGTACAGCTGCAGTAATCAAAACAACCTGGTACTAGTGTAATGATAGATACCTACACTAATGGAATAGAATTGAGAGTCCAGAAATAAACCCACCATAAATTCACTTGATCATGCAAGTGAATTTTTGACAAGGATGCTAAAATCCATTCAATGGGGAAAGAAGAGTCTCTTCAATAAATGGTGCTGGGAAAGTTGCATTTCCACGTGCAGAAAAATGAAACAAATCTACCCTACACCATACACAAAAACAAATTAAAAATTGATGAAGGACTTGAATGTGCAAACTAGTCATAAAATTCTAGCTTTCAACAATTATCTAATAATGAAAGTACAAATAGCAGAAATTAAAAACTTGTGTTCGTCAAAAGATTTTACAAAAAAAAGTGAAAAGACAACTTACTAATTGTGAGAATATCTTCAGAAACTATATATCCAACAAGAATCTAGTAACCAAAGTGTTTTTGGTTACTTAGTACCACTCTGACAAGAATAAACCACAAATGGGATGGCTTGATGAAACAGGAGTTTATCCTATTACAGTTTGGAGGCTTTAAGTCCGAGTTCAAAGTGCCAGGCTCTAGGGGCTGGGTGAAACCCCCTCAGCGTTGGGTTTCAGCTCTGCCTCTTGCTCCTGGCCCACTGAAGCTGGAGGCTTTTCTTCACTCAGCTGCTGGCTGCTGAGGCTGACAAGCCCAAGGTTTGACAAGTAAAAAGGCACAGTCCCGATATTACCAAACCACATGGCAGGCCATTAATTCAAGTCCATTGAAAGTCCCAAGTTGGCAGAGCATGGCAGGCTGCGGAACAACAACACGGCTACATGCAGGGTTCAAGAGTGCCATAAGCTAGAGACCGTTCCCCAAGGCTTCTCCTTATATACAGGAAGCAGACCACATCCCAAAGGCAGCTTACTCAGCTGCTCACAGTAGATTGCACAATGGAGTTGATTACCAGTCTCATCATGGGGAATACTACATCCAGCTGCCCAGCCACTCAACCAGACCCAGCCAAGTTGACACACAGACTTAACTACCACACCAAAGTATGTATAAAATTTTGACAGTTATCAAAAAAAGCACAGTCATAATGTGGGTAAAGGAAGAGACATAGAGGACATTCAGATGGCCACCAAACACATGAAAAGATGCTCAGCATCATTAGAAATCAGAGAGATGCAAGTCAAAACCACAGTGACATATAATACCATTTCACTCCCACTAAGATAGCCAAGATTTCTTTTAAAAAAAGAAAAATAAATGTTGGCGAGAATGTGGGGAAATGGAACCTTTGTCCTTTGTGGGGGAGGGGGTGCAAAATGGTATAGCTGTTGTGGAAAACAGTGTTGTGATTCCCAAAAACTAAAAATAGAACTACCACGTGACCCAGCAATTTCACTCCTAGGTGTATACCCAAAGGACTTGAAAGGGGAGACTCAAAAAGAGACTTGCAGTGTTCACCACAGCACTATTCACAATAGCCGCAAGGTGGAAACAACCTAAATGCATGTCAGCGGAAGAATGAATAAACAAAATGTAGTGCATACATACAATGGGATGCCACTCAGCCAGTAGGAAAAATGAAATCTTGATACGTGTTACCATATAGATGGAACTTAAAGACGTACTGAATAAAATAAATCAATCAAAAGGACAAATATTCTATGACCTCACTTATATAAAAAGACAAGAAAAGGCAAATGTATAGCAACCAGAGTTTGTTCCAGGGGTGGGGGTGGTTAATGGTGATGTAAAATTTGCATTAATTAAGGGTAGAGTTGCACGGCCAATTATTATAAATGTTGTCAATAAGTTGTAAAAAGTTGAATTGGCAAAAGTTGTATGATTGGTATATTTACCACAACAACAAATAAAAAAGAATAGCTGCTAAGGCTTTTTATGTACAACCAAACACCTCATGAGATCTGGTTTCTTGGTTTGGAGGTTTAGGATCATGGTTTCATGGGATCTCAGATAACTGGCCTAATAACATGTTTAGTGTTTCTGTTCTATCTCCTAGTTCATTCTGCAATTGGTCTCTATTCACCTGGAACTGTAGAGGAAAAAGGAGAGTCAGAAATAGGAAGAGGATATGGAATGTATGACTGATTGCCTCCATGAGTAACTACCTGCTCTGTTGTGAGACCAGAAGAACTGGATGGTGCCTGGCTACCATTACTAAACATTTTGATCAACGATTCCACAGAAGAATCCTGATCAAAAAGGAGGAAATGCAGAACAGAATTGCAAATTCTTATGAACTCTAGACTTTCTGGAGCTATGGAGGGTAGATGAACCCCTGAAACTATTACCTTGGGATCATCTTTACACCTGAAACCAAAAGTAGCCCTTGAAGTGATCTTAAAACCAAAAAGTAGTTTGGCTTTATTAGTTAAAAAAGAAAAAAAGTCTGTTTTGCATATTAGGCTCTTTTAAGAACTGTCTGTATGGGATCAATGTGACAACAGCAACTTCAAAAATTAGATAGGAACCTTAGGGGGCAGTGAGTTTATGTTGATAAGGGAGGAACAGTTCAGAAAAGGAGGGTGAGGATGGTTGTACGACTTGAAGAATGTAATTAGTGTCACTGAATTGTACATGTAGAAACTGTTGAATTAGTCTGTGTTTTGTTATTTATATTCTTAGCAACAACAACAAACAAAATTTAGCAAAACAAAACTGAAATGTTTTTCAATTATTTCGTCTACAGGGAGATTCCATGGAGCTGGAAATTTGGTGTCTTGAAATGAATGAAAAGTAAGTGTTTCTCTTTTGAGGTGCTTGGTTGTGGTAGCTGAGAGGATAAAGCAAATGATTGTGAAAAGCAGGGTTTTGTTATCAGAGTCATGGAGGGCATTCTGACCACTTAACAAAGCCATTGCTACAATTGACTTAGTACTTGGCTTCCAGCCTAGGCATAGCAAAGACCTTCAGAGGGAGCACCAGTCCAGAGACTGAGATACCATGGGGAAAACAGCATCAGAGAAAACTGAAAGAGATTTGTTGTTTTCCCAGAGTACAGATAGTTCTCTGATTAAGTCCCTTTGAGCTCTTGTGAGCCATTTTGTCTGTTTTCTGGGTGGCAGAAGTCCAGTAAGATGTACCTCATATTCCTTTTAAAGACTGTTGGTTATGGATTAGAAATGCATGTTATTTCCCTCCTTCATTTTCTTCTTTCAAGACAGATTAGAAAATCTTTAGTTTTCAAGAAGAGTGTATAGGAAAATTGAGAAAAAACACATCAAAAGAAAAATCTTAGTGATAATTATGTACAATGTAGGAGTTATTTTTGTTTCTTAAATAGAACGCAGTTGCCAGGTTATAATCTAAAATTATAGTCCACACAGATTTTTCTCTAGATTTCTCATAAGATACCTTGAAATTATGTTTATACTTTCAGTAATTGCAATATTGAATTACTACTTTTTAAGTGTGTTATTTTATTTCTTAGAAAGATAACTACTTCAAAGCTAGAAAAAATAGGTCCTTTTAGTGCTCATCTGCTTGTGTCTAGTTCATGAAAAAGAAAGTCTTTGGTTTTTACCTCAACAATCTGTTAATAAACTGAAAAAGAACTCTAATTATGTGTTTTGTTCATACATATTTTAGTAATAAATTTAATATTGTGCATTTCCAGTGCATAGTTTGCAACTGTTTCTGTTTTTGTTGTTGCTTTTTTTTTTTAATTTTAATTGTGATTTGGGTGAAATTTTACAGAGCAAATTCATTTTCCATACAGCAGTTCATACACATTTTGTCTCATGACATTAAGTGCAATTCCCCACAATGTAACAGCTCTACTTCCTCCCCGTAGTTACCTCTTCCCTGTGTCCTTCCCTCCTGTGTACTCCCACCCCAAGCTGTCTCCTTGTGCAAACACTGCCCTTCTGTTCTCCCATGATTGATCACTCCAAGGAACGTATCTACCCGATATAAATGTTTACTCCATATGTCTATTATTTGGCTGGAAGCCAAAAGAGTGAGTTCAGTTCCAGACTTGAAAGGTGGCTAGGGGCCATGGTCTCAGGAGTCTGTCTCACCAGGTTCTATCAGACCAGTAAACCTGGTCTTTTTTTTTTTTTTTTTTTTATGATTTTGAGTTTTGTTCCACATTGTTCTCCCACTCTATCCAGGATCTCCTGCACCAATCGCCCTCCAAGTGGTTGGCAGTGGTAGCCAGGCACCATCTAGTTCTTCTGGTCTCATGGCTATATAGGCTAAGGGTCACATGGTCCATTAGTCCCTTGGACTGATTGTTTCCATGCATCTTTGTTTTCTTCATTCTTATTTGCTCTGCACGAGGAGAGACCCATCATTGCATCTAGATGACTACTTGCAAGCTTTTAAGATCTCAGTTGGTACTCACCAAAGTAGGATGTGGAACAATGTTTTTGTGTAGTATGTTATGCTAATTGAGCTTGATGTCCCCTGCGACCATGGTCCCCAGCCCATAGGTCCAACTACTCCCTTCCTCTGGGTAGCTAGCTGTGGCCAAGAAGCCACCGTAACCTTGCCCCTTGTCAGCTCTACTATACACCTGGACATTCTTACAGCAAATACAAATATGCATGTAGAAACATTGTCTGCTAACCTTATATATGGTCATGGGCACACTGCCCTGCCTAGACCTACCTGATCATTCAGCCCGTCTTCCCATCTATTCACCTGTAGATCAATGCTTGCCATCACTGACAACACATACTGTATGTGCAAAAGGGTTCATCTTGATTGTACCTCTCAGTGTCCTCCTCTGCATCAGTGCCACCATTGCAACCATTTCTTTTGACTGTTATACTCTCTGCATGGTATACTTGAACTAGAAAGCAGATTTTATTCCATCAGAACTCATGGATAATATTACCAAATTCATCTTAGTCCCTAGACAGAACTTAGTATTACACTGTATCAATTGGTTTTCTTTCGTTGCTTTATATTAGTTTAATAGAGAATGCTGACAATGTCTGTGTGCTCCTCAGGTGTGATAAAGAAATCAAAGTTTCCTACACCGTATACAACAGACTGTCCTTGCTGCTGAAGTCTCTCCTTGCTATAACTAGGGTGACACCAGCCTACAGACTGTCCAGAAAACAAGGACACGAATATGTCATATTGTACAGGTAAAACAGTGTAGATGCTCATCTTGTTCATTTACTCATCATTGTGCACTTTTACATTCCCTGACTGGCATTCAGGTATTCTGTGATTATTATTTTTTTTTTCCACTGAAACTTTTTTTTTTAATGCATTTTATTGAAATATAATTTATGTACAGTGAAATACACAAAACTAAAGTGACATGGGTCAATGCATTTTTTTGTCTTTTTGCAGTGTTGCCTTCTTACCCCTCCCACCCCTGGTAATGAACTAATACTATATTTGTCCTTCTGTGATTGACTTATTTCATTCAACATAATGTCCTCCAAGTTCATCCATATTATGCGGTGTTTTGAAACCTCTACCTTATTCTTTAGTGCTGCATAGCATTCCATTATGTGTATGTACCACAGTTTGGTTATCCACTCTTCCGCTGATGGGCACATAGATTGTTTCCATCTTTTTGCTATTGTAATTAGTGCTGCAATGAACATGAGTGTGCGTATATCTGTTCCTGTCCTGGCCCTCTCCTCTCTAGGATATATACCTAGTAATGGGATTGCTGGGTCAAATGTTACCTTCAATTTCAGCTTTCTAAGGAATCACCATATTGCTTTCCACAGTGGTTGTATCCCTTCACAGTCCCACCAGCAGTGTGTGAGAGTCCCAATCTCTCCACATCCCCACCAGCATTTGTTGTTTTCTGTCTCGTTGAACATTGCCATCAGTGCTGTGGTGAGATGGTATCTCATTGTTGTTTTGATTTGCATCTCTCTGATGGCCAATGATTGTGAGCATCTCTTCATGTATTAGCTGGCCACCTTAATATCCTCCTTGTTGAAGTGTCTATTCATGTCTTCTG